ATGTTTTTCTGGCATTATTACTTAGTCAGTGACATAACTGGAGGGAAGCACTATTTTGGGTGATGTCACTGGCCAAAGGAAAATTATATCATAACAATGTATCATAACAATGTCCCTTTAAAAATGACAAAGATTTGAGTACGTCAAAATACAAATGTTTTTCTGTATATGTCATGTTAATTTTCCATTTAAATGGTTTAACAAATTTGGATATGTTGGAGGGCAGCAAACCGAAGAACTGCCCTGAGCAGCATGAACTGTAGCTACAGCATTGCATTTAGTTCTAGAAACTAATTTCTTCTGTAACCCATTGTTTGGGATTCTGTATGCCTTACTTTTTGGTATGTTAAATTCTTTTCCCTTATTTGGAAAGTTTTCTGCTATTATTTCAGTAGATAGTTTTTCCAATGTCATTTGTGGTGTCCTCCAAATTTTTACTAATTCCAATTAATGTTAGATTAGTCTTATTTGTGTCATCTATAAGAATTAGATCTATTTTTCATCTTCTTTTGTTGTTTTTAAGATATCTCTCATTATTTGGTCACCAACAACAGCCTTGTTTTCCAGTTCTGACACTCTGTCCTGATATTGGTCATTTCTACTGTCCATACTTTGTATAGAATTTTTAATTCTTACTGGTATACTAATAAAGATAGAGAGATGGGGAACCAGGAATGAAAAAAAACCAATATTTGAAAAACTAATCAATGGGATATGAGATAGAGGAGTGAGAAGTGAGAAGGGGCTCCCACTGAGGTATAACAGGAAATTGATAGTGTTAGAGAACAGCTGGAGGGAATATCGAGTGTGAAAAAGAAAAAAAAATAGAAACAGCAAAATATAAGAAATAAAAGATAAGAAGGAAGAGAAAAAAGTTGAAATGGGAATAGAGAAAAGTAGAGAAAAGAATCTAAATGAGGAAAAAAAAGGATGAAAAATTCCAAACCCCCAAGAAACCTGATAAAGGGAAGATAAAAATGATACAAAGTAGAAAAATTAAGAAAAGATTGACTCAAAGAAAAAAATTTCTGGAGGGCGTGGTGGTGCATGCGTGTGGTCTCAGCACTTGGGAGGCTGAGGCAGGAGGATCGTTGTGAGTTTGAGACCAGCCTGGACTACAAAGTGAGCTCAAGGGCAGCCCGAACTGTATAGCGAGACCTTGTCCCAAAAAGACCAAGAAAAAAAAAAAAATTTCTATTTCTTCCAAAGATCTGCTCTTGAGGTCTGGCCAGGCTTGATTTTCTCTTCCTAGCTTTGGGGGCTATGGGTTTGTGAGCTGCCCTTCCTGCACCAGAGGCCACCCTGTTCACCCCCATTGTTGTAACAGTCCACATAAAGGTGTGTCCTTGCTCTCGTTGATAGATGGGAAGCATGATTTGCCCTCTGGTGTCTGCTGAATATAGGCTGTATGGTGGGGGTTGAAGTGGACTTTTGGCCTTAATGTCAACAGTCACAGAGTCTGGTTCCTCCTTCTCTCCTTGAGTGTTGTCTTGGTTAGGATCAGGCTGCTTGGTTAGTTCTTGCCTCTGCTACCCTGTGCCAAGGGGAAATAAAATATAGAGCTTAC